TCAGACCCTTTGGGTCCAAATCTCCACCTCATCAGCAGCTGGCTATGAGCAAGTTTCATCACGCTGCCTCTACACAAGAAAGGCAGCATAGGGCAGGGCCTGCTCATGGAGTTGTGAGAAGAGACTAAGCCAGGCAAGGACAGTGGTCAGCAGAGTCCACACTGAAGCATACAGAGCACCTGGGGCTTTGCAACATCACCACAGAGAGGCCTGGTCTCATCTCAGCTGCTGGGAGGGGAGCAATGGCCCTGGAGTGCTCTGACTTGTAAAAGTGACTTTCTTTGCTTGGGTTTTATCCACAGAAGAAAGTAATATGATCTACAATGGATGCTGGGGGTCCAAAGTTACCAGTGAGGCCCCTGAGAGGCTGGAGGCCACAGGGTCAGCCTCACTTCTAGAAAGCTGTAGGCTACTGCTCAGCCCAGTAGGCTGCACTTGATTCACTGAGCCCCTGTAATAGCTCTGGACATGGAAAGTTCAGCATTCCTCCACAATAGACATCTGACCAGGACCAGTGTCACATGTCACTGCCAGGAGAGGAGAGCTGCCCTCAGAGAGCGGCTCAGGAGCACCACACTGGGGTCTTCCCTGGACTGATGTCTGTCTGCATCATTTCCACAAGAGAACCCGTGAGCAGGAAGGAGATGCTTCCAGAGTTCTGGGAACATTTCGACCCAAGCTCTCCCCGTTGGGGTGGTCTGTGCCAACACCATTGGTTCCCCACCTTCGGGTGGGGACTATGCTCTTCCAAAGTGCAGGGATGGTTGCTCGCTTTCTGAAGCAGAGTGAACTTAATGATATACTTTTAAGTGGCCAGCGGTCAAGGAGGAACTCATCTCTGTAGTGATTCGATTGAAGAACAGCAGAGAGTAGAGTCTTAGATGATGCAATACAATGATTTCATTTTGTCTCCGTTGTGACTGAATTGGGCAGGAGGAAGAAGAACTGAGCAGGATTCAGCCTGCTAACAAGGAACAGCCCTCAAAGCGTCCCTGCCTCAGCATGGGGAATGAACACACCCACAGCAGGAGACGAGCACCTTTCAAAGCTCCCAGAGAGTACAGTCCCGAATCACTACAACCATGGAGCCCAGCCAAGGGCCTTTCCTGAGCATCATGCCTGCTTTGAAAGGATGGAGCAGATACAGACGTGTCTGCAGAAACACACTCAGCTTGGGGCTGGCCTCTCAACCTGGAGGACAGCATGGGACATCTGGGCTAAGTCTTCACATATAATACTTCTTCCAGGGCCCCAGCCAGTAGATAAAAACAGCCATAAAATGCGTGGACCATAAAGGTAGAGATTTAAAACAAAATTTCAATTCAACAGCAACTTGAAAGCAAAAAAATGTCAAGTTACATGAGGACAGCGGATACCGGATACCAAGAAACGCAACTCCTGAGAGAAATCCATCTCAGGAAAGGAGAAGTGAAGTGATTTTGCAACATGCTTGAGGTTTCTCAGGGGATTTTTAAAAAAATAAACAGATGGAGGACATAAAAAGGAACCAGGAGAACATATGTTTCAAAACCAAAAGGTAGGTGGAAACAAAGCAAGTGGATGCAAACACCAACAAACCCAGAAATCGGAAAGGAGAGCAGAGCGGTCCATTAATGGGCACATCAGTGTAGAGACTGCCTCCCAACTCCTGCCCTACCTTTTCGTTGGAGTGAGGAGTCCATGCCAGGGAGACAGACCCATCCCTGCCCAGGAGTTCATAATCCAGACAAGGACATCAGGAAAGAGAGGGGTATACAGAGGGGTGGAAAACTCAGGGAGAGTGACAGCGATGACCTCATGGAGTGGCATACAGGAGTCAGGAAGGCTGCTCTGTGAGGGGCATGCAGCCTGGAGAGAACACTCCACACTGATTGGAGGGCTCCTTCCTCATTCATCAGTTACATAATTAGCATAATCATAATGAAGAGATTGTACTACCGATAAAGTATTAGGTGTCCCTTTAAGTAGGAAATAGGTCTGATGCCATTTCCATACACTATTCACCCCTGTCCTAGAAGTCCCATCTAGAAATTAGTGTGCCACATAAGAATGAAGCTGGCATGATGGCCCACACCTTTGATCCCAGAACTGGGGAGGCAGAGGCAGGCTGATCTCTGTGAGTTCAAGGCTAGCCTGGTCTATGTAGCAAGTTCCTGACCAGCCAGT